ACTCTGTCCTGAAGCAGTCAAATTACTGCTAGAAACACAGTGGAGTGAGAAATGTCTTCCTTACGCATTTTGAAATCCTTGTCCTTAGGAATTGTCGGGGTTTTTGTGGTTTGGGGGTTTTTTTATTTTATTTTGGTTATTTATTTTACATAAGAGAAGTAGTTAAGGCTCTTCATCCATGTCCTTATTTTTCTCTGGAGTTTAAACTTGTTGCAGCCAGCTCATCTACAGTCAGCAGTCTGACATAGCTGGTTTTCCTGGAGCAGCATCTCTAAGTTTGTCCCTGAAGCATAATTGTCGACCGTGAAATTAAATAACTCGGTACTGCTATAAAATGACCAAGGAGGTGGCACAGTTTGGGTGGCTGAAGTTGACAAGCCGTGTGGCTGATGAACAGAAACACAGCCCCTTTGCTGTTCATTAAGAGCATCTTTCTCTAGCTGAGGTTAGGGGCGTTTATTTCTGTAGTGTCTAGTGTGCATTGTAGCATGAATATAAAATAATTGTTTTGAGTTATTTGAAATACCTGTTTCTAGAAGGATTTTTTTTTTATGATGTTGCATCCAGCCTTGGCACCATACAAACAAATGTCAATGAGATATTTTCCCAAGCAAGCTTATGACAGAGTCTAAAAGTGAAGGTGTAAGATGGGCAGACTGCTTAAAATTAGAATGCAAGTTGGTATCTGAGCAGCAAAGGAAAAGCCTGATCATTTCCACAGTGGAAAAGTCCAGGAATGTCTCTTTGAGACTGTGATGTTGTTGCAGTTTGTTTTGTAACCCTGTTAATCAGAATAATAAAGTGGTGACAGAAGGTATCCCACTCATGTCCCGAATGTCTCCCCGATGTACACTCGCGATCGATGCGGTTTATTTTTGAGAAGTCTGTAAGAACACAGCATCAGGCAGACCCAGACTATTGCAACTGGAAATAAATGTTCGTCCTGAATTCTGACCCAGGGAATAGAAAGGTGTTTGCCTTCTCAGAGGTTTTTCCTTAGTATGCAAGATTCAAAAATAGTCGTCTTGCCAGGAGTCGGGACATTTTCAACACAAACAGTTTTATGCAAAGCTGTGAAGCAAAGGTCCCATCTGTGATTAGAAACCTCTCTGCTTTTCTCTCAATTCAGAGGAGGTGATACACTGTTTGGAAGGGAGCCTGTAAGACAAACTACAAAAGTTTAAGGTATATGCCTGCTATTTCCTAATCTACCAAACCTTCAGATAATTATAGGCGAGGTAAAATGTCACATATTAAAGTCCACGTGAAACATTTAAAAATCCCTCCTTCTCCCTCCTTTTTTATGACATCCTTTGTCAGCAGGGTGTTGTTAGAAGAGTTAACAACAAAAATATGGGTGTCCTTAGGTATCTTCTGCCAAGTCATACTTGTTTGTCCATCTGTGTTAAGAGCCACCCTTACTGGTGCATATCCATGTAGGGATCTTCTGAACATGAGAGTGGCCATCATATGTCAAGGCCAGAACTGGCTCTCAAAATTGGGGTGTTGCCTCTCTATTGCGAGAATGCCCTTCCCATAGAAGATGAAATTAAATTATGATAATTCTAAATCGCTGTATAGTGTTGTAAAGGAGATGTAGAATGCGGCATCATATCTGTGATGAAGAAGATTGTTGTTTGTTGATTTTAATAGCCTTCAGAATGACAACTTGAGAATGAGAGAAACACTGATTAAGATTGTTATCAGGTAGCATAATACAGAGATTGTGGTAGTAGAAAGCAAGAACAGGCAGCATGAGTTCTGAAAACAGTTCCTGCAGCTGTTACTGATCATGCAGATAATGCATGATATAAGATCCTTATATAACATCCCTCAGTTTAAAGTTGCCCATAAAATGGGCAATTCATAATTTGACTATGAAAATGCAGCTTTTTTTTCTGAGGCTGCGGCAGCGTTGCCATCCAAGAGCTGCTGAAGACTCTTTAGCACGATAGGAAGGGAAACAGATGGTGCTTGGAGCCAGCACTCCTGTGCTGCCTGTGGATAATTTGTGGAAACCAGTTTTCTGATTTCAGTCGAAGCAGCTCAGCAGCCCCGAAGCTCTGGTGGTTCCTCGGGACCCCTTTTGTTTGATGCAGGTGAGCAGGGGATGGCAAGTCCAAGGTGTCTGACCTTGAACCAAGATCATCAAATCAGCTGTTGGCAACAAAGCAGTGGGGAAATACCTAAGGCTCAATGAAAATAGCATCGAACTGCTGTATGTACATTTTTTAAATCTCAAAAATGCATTTATCATATTCCCAGGCAGTGCATTTTCGAAAAGACTGCAGGCAAAAATACCTGCTTTGGTATAAATTGTAGGTACACAGGTTGACAGTGATTGCCATCTTGTGTGCAGTCACCTTCCTTGAAATGCACAGTACCTGCTTTGGCTCTATTACAGCTGCCATAAAACTGTAAAATAATGTGAGCATCTCACAGGAGGGTCTATTTTACTTAATAAAAGTGGAGTTGTACTCTTTTTAATTACACTAGTAGGTAAGACAGTGTGATTGGCCTGGTAACTGTGAATGAGAGTCTTGCAAGGGAAGTGCCCTCTAGGGATTCCTGGTAGTTAGTCTCTTGCCAGGTATTGCAAGACATGGGAGGAGGGGTTAATTGATAGCTCAATTAAATATCTTTTATTAATACTAAGTTATTTGGTTGATATACCTTGCAGGTGGAGTATACAATGCTGCTGTTTCTGATAGCTGCATTCTACTTTTCTAGTGCTACATAAACAGCACGTCAGTTTTAAACGTCAGCCTCTTTACTACCATTATTCACTTGAATTTTTTTTTTGAAGGCTAATAATCCCATATAATGAGTAGATTGTGTAGCACAACATTATCTTTTAGGTACTTAGTTTCTTTAATAACTTACAAGCTTGCCTGGGTACGGAAGAGCAGCCCTCCAGGATTGCTGCTTCCACATGCCCTCTGTGTGTGCATTCAGTTGTCCTTGTCCCTCGGTCAAGTGGTCCCTCTGCCTGCCTGTGTCCCCAGCGTGGTCCTCCAGGTGATGCAGTTTGCATCTGCAGCGTCCAAGCACGCAGACTGGTGGAGATCTCAGCCCCATCTCCAGGGATGGGCATGGGGAGCATCTTTTAGCTCCTCCTTGGAGAGGCAGCCACAGCACGGCACGCAGCATCGCTCAAGCTGCTGTGGATCAGAAGGCAAGCATGCCAAACATCAGGCACCTGGCTGCAGCTAAATAACTAATTCCTGGTGTGGTGGGGAAGATGTGGTGGTCTGTGCTCATTCACGGGGCTGTGGTGTCTGTGTCGCCTTGCCTGGGGAGAAGGAAGCAGCTCACCTTCCTGAAAGGCAGGGATATAAGGTGTCTGAAGATCTGGGATGATGCTGTTTTGCTTCACTTGCATCATTTGTCTTGCAGCTGTAAGCTTGAAATGTTTGGGGTTTCTTCTCTGAAGTTATTTATTAACTTCAGTAATGCAAAATGCACAGTCCCAGCTTGAGTTGTAATAGTTTCAATTATAAGCCGTGAACAAGACTCCAGGATTGATGTATCTTTATTGAGAACATCCCTATTAATAGTGCTTCATGTGAGTTAAACATCATCTTGGAAGTCTGCCATCATTGTTTTGAGAAGTAGCATGCAGACAAGAATGGATGTAGTTTAATTGCAGTGAGGTTAAAGGATCCGGCGGTCGTCCAAAGACTTGTTTTCTCCAGTTTCTTCTGGAGTGTAGACCTTTCAATAGGCTGACTTTTCCACAGTCCATTTCAAATGCCTTTCAGGTTTTCTGAGTTACTAATTCAGTTTATAAAACTGGATTTGATAGCCAACCCACGACAGTTGTTAGAATAAACAGTACAGAAGTGTTCTGCTGATGTCAATAGTGGCTTAATCTTTATTGACATTTTCATTAGTGTTTATAATATACAGAAGACAGCTATTTCATAATAGGGGCAGATATGAAAAGAATGTAATACCTTCAGTCTAAATTGTAAATTCATTTGTAGAAGCCTTTCTGAAACAGAAGAATGGGTCCTAACAATTTGAATGGCCAAACATGGCTCTTAAAAGATTTGAACCATTTTATTGGTGGTGACGTTTCATACTTCGGAGATACTTTAGGGATCTTCGGGATAGGATTGTTAGAGGTTCTTATTTTGAGTATCGGTAATTCCAAATATGGTCTTACAGGAACTTCCATAACTCCTTCCCTAAATGAACAGAATTACCCAGATATATTGTATGTATGTATTAATTCATGGAAATCTATATTGTTTATAGATACATAGCACCTGCTGCTGTTTACCACAGATGAAACCATTTGTCTTGATTTTTCTTTTTTAAAATCTTGATAATAGTGAGAATGTGATATCTCACCTGTAATACTGTGTGATGATCTTTTAATGCTGACAGTAAATTTGTACTTGGCTTAATACTGTGAGATATGTAAGTCTTCCCGTGTGTTCAGGCTGGTTTATATATGAGGTTTTACTGTTATAAAATTGCATTGTTTGTTTGTGTGCCACAAAATACATTGCAGCAAAGATCCTTTAAAATCCTCTGCTTCTCAGCCTTGTGCAGGAGGAAACAATATCACCCATTCGTGTAAGAAATCCGTTCTTCAGACTGAGGCAGCACACTATATTTGTGTCTTAATAAAAAGCTTTTAAAATAAAGTTCACAGCACACACACAAAAGACCAACAAACCCCAAAATCCAAGCAAAACAACATTGGGGCATTGTTTAAATTAACTTGAAATGATGAGCTCGTTATTGCCTAGGTAGAATCCAGAAATCCAGATAACTGGCTTCATCCTCACCTTAAGGAACGTTTATTTGGTTTGACAACAGCAATGGCATGTGTGTGCTGTGTGATGGTTAATTTGGCTAATCACAGAGGGAAGCATAACATAGCTTGATCCAATGTGTAAGGGAAATGAAGACTACTTAAAAAGCAGGAATTGCAGGACTTTAAATTTATGTGGCTCCCATTCTTCATCTTGTTTTGTTTTCCTTTGCAGTCCACTCCTTTACACCTAGCAGCAGGCTACAACAGAGTTCGAATAGTCCAGCTTCTGCTCCAGCATGGTGCAGATGTTCACGCGAAGGACAAAGGGTATGTAAAGTGAATGAATAATGCATTATCTGTTTGCAGCAGTGCTTTTGTATTAATCAAGATGAGGAATTATTTCTCGGTTTCACGTTGCAGCACAATCTCAAATAGTTGGCAGAGAATGTCACATTTGCTTCCAAAATCTCCGTGTGGTTCATTATTAATAAACTTTTGTTAGAGCCTCAATAACAGATTAGCTGTGATTGCACTTGTTTTAAGTGTTCTATTACACCTTTAAATATTTTCCAAACCTTATTCTTTGCTTTCATGCACAGACTACACTGTTAAATCACGGTCTTCTAGCATTACTTTAACGAAGGCGATGGGGTAAAGGTATGTGGGCTTAGTGAAAAACAATTTGCATTGGAAAATTTCTCTATAGGCTCATTATCTTGATGCATATATATGGATGAAATTTGAAGCAATATCAATAACACTCATGCGCTCACAACTAGTGGTCTTGGGAGACCTATCTTGATTGATGTTGCCAGCAAAAATCAATATATAGTGGAAGCTAAAGTATTTTATTTTTGCAGTAAGGTTTGTAATAACGTAAGATACCAACAAAATGTGCATAGCAGTCAGAAATCTGGAATGATACGTGTTGTACATTGCTCTCAGCCATACATTTCTGAACTCTGAGGTGATGATTCTCATGGTGGTCTGATAGCAAGGCTTAGTCCTGACACTGTAGAAATGGGACCCCTGGTTAGAGGCTTGCCTTTTAGGTAAGATAGCAAGTAAGATATTGAGTGTGTGTTCTGTCTCCATCAGCAAAATTGAGGCACTTCCTATATATTAATTTTCTGCTGAGTTCAGCCTAATGCTAAAAGAGATTTTAAATTAAGATCTTATCTTTTTTTTCTTTTTCATTCCAAAACCCATCTCAAACCTACTTAAACTCTTGAAAATTGACTGATTTGTAGCGGTTTTGTCTGTAAATTGACAAAAAATGGCTTTTTTGCTCAAAATTGTTGTGAAATGTATGATGAGACGTTATGTAAATAAAAAGCCCCAGAGTAAAGCTGCATGTAATACCTGTTCAGGTGGATCCAGCACTGTTAAGCAGGTTTTAGGCATTTTACACCTTTCTGAATTCTGAGCACCGCTTGGTAGAAAATTGCAGCGTAGGCGCCTCAATGAGGTTTGAATGATCCACTTGAAAAGTGTGAAAAGCGTGAAAAGTAAGGAAGTTGAACTTGAGCGGGGGACGGGGAAAAAGAAAGAAAGAAAAGAAAAATTATACCCTTTACTTTGTATTAAACTTTAAACCAATTCAATCATACTTCAGTATGTCTCACAGCCCAGTAAGCTCCCTCAAGTTGTAATTAAGAAAAGTAACGATGGAAAATAACAGTTTGAAAAATTGCCCTGAAACACAATTCCCTTTCCTGTGACAAGTGCAGTGCTGCTTCTGAGAGCATCTACCTTAAAATTAAGCTTACCCTGTTGTCTAGTACTTGCTGTCCCAATGCTCTTTGAGTTGATTTTGCAGTTCTGGGAAACATCCCCTGTATTTTTCATAAATGGTGAAGGGTTAATTATTGTTTTCAGCGTATTATGCATTCTGGTTTGTTGAGCCATAACTAGCCTGTCTTGCTTGGCTTGATTTAAACTCATTTTGTCTTCTGTAATAATTGTCCCCTTTGCCGTCTCCCTTTTCAGTACATTACTTTTAAATTACATTTTGTGCTTATGACTAGATCCTTGTTATTTACTTTGGTGGTGTCATTTTTAAGTATGGCCTCCAGTAATATAGCTGTACAAAAATTACAGGGACTCTCTTAGAAGCATCTCTTGCACAGTTAAATAGGTTGTACTGTAAAAAATGGAGTAAAATCAGGTCATTCTGCAGTCTGGAGCAGCAATTTCAGTCTGCTTTTTGTGGATATTTGCACATCTTCATAATATACCCAGGAGTTACGTTAGTGTTATCTGGGGAGTTCTGCCTTTCAGACAGCATTTTAAATAAACAGGAGTTCCTATTTAGGCAGAAGCAGAACACTGACTTCTCTTGAGCAAATTGAATGTGGAATGGGACTTCTCCTTCCTTCCTTAATAGCTTCAAGAAAGATAATTTCAAAGCTAATTAATGCTAATCTTAGTGGTAGATTAAACCTCTGTGGCCTGTTAGGACCAAAAAAATCCCGACCATTTTAATACTACTCTTAAGTAACATGCTGTTTGGGATTAAAGAACATGTTGTTAGATTTTTTCAATTCATTTGTAGATCTTAATTTTTAAATATTTAAATATTTTAGATTTAATTTTATTTCTGTTCATCTCAGTAGAGAGAAAATTGTTTCCCCTTCGTTAAAAGTGCTGCTTAAATTAATTTGTCATTTCCCTTCTTCTATACAGTGGTCTTGTGCCTCTTCATAATGCATGTTCATATGGACACTACGAGGTTACAGAGCTGCTGCTTAAGGTAAGTGGAAGGATGGAAAGTAATTACTGTATTTTTTGATGTGTTAGGTGAGACTTATACTGCTTATTCCAGAACTGAAAAGGGAGATTTTTTTCCTGTAGTAACAGGTTTCAAACACCGTGTGTGTCATTTCAGAAGCATGCAACTTTAGACCTTCTGTGGTACAGTATATGTGGTTTTTTCCCCACTTAACTTCTTTGAACAGATAGTAGAGTTGCATTTATTTGATTTTTTTATTATTATTATTATCATTTTTATTTTTTCCTGTGGAAAAATCTGTTCTAGTGAAAAAACAGCTCAGAAAAATGCCAATTGTTTTTGTATATACAGGTATTTTAATAACTATTTTTTGTTTGTGTTCATATATGAAAGAACGGAACCACATTTTATAATGAAATTAAGCTGATTTATTACTAACGCAAGGCTTTCTTTGCTGTGCTAGCATGGTGCCTGTGTGAATGCTATGGACCTCTGGCAGTTCACCCCCTTGCACGAGGCTGCATCCAAGAACCGTGTGGAGGTCTGCTCCCTCCTGCTGAGTCACGGTGCGGATCCCACGTTGGTCAACTGCCACGGCAAGAGCGCGGTCGATATGGCTCCAACACCTGAGCTGAGGGAGAGATTGACCTGTAAGTGTTTTCAGACTGGAAACGGTTGTCTGGGTGTAAAGGGATGCTTTCCTTCCCAGCCACCTTCCTCCTTCTTCACAAGTAGATGCAAAGCAGCAGAGTAACTGCAGCTATGCCTCACGTAGGAGTCTCTATATTAAGGCTCTCTATCACACTTAAAGAGTAACTTCCAGGAAGTAGATAGCTTTGGTGTGCAAAATTGAAGAGGTGGAAATGCCAGCACCTTCTTTTACAGTCTTTGCAGTCCTTAAGCTGTTTACAAAATAATGTTTCAGCTCTAATTTGAATTTGTCTGCCTTTATTTGCCCCCTTTTGGGGATTTGTTTTCTCATTGTAATCTGTAAAAGATAATTAAGTGAGACAAGTATGGAAGCAAAGCATTATGAAGTTACAGAAAACTCCTTGAGAAGTAGATTCCAAACTCAGTTATAAATAAGCTTTTGGATTTGTCTGTCACCTTTTCAGTATAGCAAAATTCCCCTGATACGCTAAGAATGTGATCCTGCACTATTCATAGCTATTCAGGTTGTCGTCTGTCGCTGCTCTTTGCATGCGAAGGTGGTGAGATCACGTGCAGCTCTAGGAGAAAAGAGGAGGGCGTTAATATCTTCTAGCTACTTCTCTACTCTCTATACTGGTCTAACTTGGGAGATGCTTCTGGCTTTGAGGCATTTGTTTAAATTAGCAAGAAAAAAACCCAACTATGTAAACTTTATTTTATTTCTGTAATTATAGTTCCTGGAGAGGAGTGGGGAAAGATTCATGTTCATTAATATCCACTGAAATGTGTACACAAATGTGAGCATTATGCCGAATTTGGCAGTATCTTGATGGGACATCCTGTATTTGCATACCCAAAACAACATGTTTAGTATATTCTTGAGTTCATTGGCTTTATACTTTAGGAATAATATTACATTTGTTTGTTTTTTCGAGATTCATTTGTACTTGTGCTTTGTATAATGCTTTGTTTACAAAGCAAATTGTAATCTACTTGAAATTAAAACTTAAAAGTTACTATATTTATTTTTATTTCTAAATATACAAGTGCACTGAATATAAAAATAAGGGTGGGAGCAGAAAGCCACTCTTAAACAAGCTTAGCATTTCAAGCTTGCTTGCGAAAGACAAGTACTGATATTTTTACTGAGATTGAGCTTTTTTTTCCCCCTAGTTCCCAGGTTCAGGCATCATTCTTACTAACTTACTTTTCATTTGTACATTTCAGGAGAAACACTTCTAGTCTTTTTTCAAATTCAGAATTAGTTAAAACTAAAATGAACTAGTGGCTGAGCTGAACAAGATGTGACACTGAATATAACAAAGTTACATTTCTATGCTGGCAAAGATAGAACAGCTTTCAAAACCTGTTTCATATTTGTAGCAGACAGGCTTCAAATGCTTAGCCTGTTAGCTTACTTTAAGACCATTAGTTTAATATTTTATATTTAAATTATATGTTCAGGCTTTACTTTGAATTATTTGTAGTTGGAAATACAATAAGGTTTTTGAAAAGCAACTGTAATGCCTTTTTCTGAAAAGCATTTTAATAGCATTGTGCTCACTTGAACACATACATGGGTAATTTAGAGGTCACATATGCATTTAATGTCAAGTGGGTGGAGGATAAGAGTGAGAAAAGCTATAAGGATTCACTTCCCCTCTCCTTTAGAATGTCCATTTGGTTTCAGAAAACCATGATTCATGTTCTGTGTCCCAGGTCAGCCACTATCTGAAGATGTACAGAAATACCCTTATTTCCTCTTAATTGAGTATCTCCAATAACATTTATAAATGTGACATGCTGCTGAATATTAAATGCGTCTTTTTCCTCCAACAGATGAATTCAAAGGACACTCTTTGCTGCAAGCAGCCAGAGAGGCAGACCTAGCCAAAGTGAAAAAGACACTTGCTTTGGAGATCATTAATTTTAAGCAGCCACAGTCGCATGAGACTGCACTGGTGAGATTATACAGTCGATCCGTTTGTTTTATGATAAATGTGGTGATAGTGCTGGTTGATGAGTTTTATTTCTACGCTATGAAAATGTATTCATCATCTGAGACTGAGGATTTGCCCTCAAACACTTTAATATATTAAAATTAAATCATTATAGACATAACATCATACAGTTTTTTGTCACTTTTTTTTCCTTCTTCCTGGTAGATTACAGAAGCCTCCCCAGCCATTCCTCACCTGATAATTTTTAACTTCTCTTCTGCTTTTTCTCTATCACTCTCTTCTTTTTGTTGGTCAGTTGCTGTGGGTTTTGGGGGGTTAAACAGTACTGACAATACCACATTAGCTATGGAAACAGGGGTCTTTGAGACTTTCCATGCAGTATCCTGCTCTTATTTCATTGTTTGAAAAAGCAGTGGAGGCAAAAAACACAGCCAGTATCCCAGATACAGTGAAGATGTTGAAGTTGAGAGGGACGGATGATATTATTAAAACCATTATAGTTATGATATTTTATTTCAGTGGAACATTTTCCTCACAGTGGTAGGTCTCAGCTGCAGGAATATAACTGCATATTTAGTGTTAGAAACATTGTGATTGTTATTAGAACACTGTGTGTTGAGTACCAAGCATCCATGTGCTCTGTTCTCTCCATGGAGGACTCAGTGTCCTAGCCTGAACTTCGAAGCAAGACAGAGGAGAAATATTTAGAGGCTGAACATGAAGACTATGTGAAATCTGGGATTATGTTATCCTTTTCTTCCTGTGTTTGCGATTCCTCAGTATTTGCTTCCTGTACTTTAGATTTCCAAGTGGTCTCCCATCCAAGGACTTGGCTTCCAGGACCAGATGGGGTTATACAAATCTAACTGATCTGTTCCTGTCCTAAGCATGGTATCTTTTACCTTGGGTCATTCAGGTCTTTGCCCTGTTACCCCACAGAGGCCAAAGAAGCACCTGGTTTATGTTTCAGTGTTGCTCTGAGGTTTGGCAATATTTTAGCATTTGTCTTGCATTTAGTGCTGGTTTCTCATGTTGGTAGGAAATACAGGTAGGTTATTATCTGCAAAGCCTCAAAATTACTGCCACTCTTCAGAGCAAAAGCTGATCTTAATGTTCATTTACAAACCTTGCGTTTGTGGAATTTGAACATGCTCTGCTAACTGACAGCAGTGTGGAAGCTGGAGTGGCAGATACTTCATACATAGTGAGGGCTAAAACTGGGACTGTCTGCTTTTTTATGGGTTACTGGTTTAAAACATGGGTAAACATAAAATTATTCAGAAGTATCTCCTCTTTCTTATAGTCTGCTATCTTGAGACATCCAAACTTGAGCCAACCATTCCTAGACTGGTTTTAAAGCATGGTCTGTAGCTTATCTGGAACCACGCTTGTAATTTCAGGCCTCAGGAATGCATTGGTAGGGTCATGGTTGAAAATGTCAGAACAGATTGAGTCTCTGCAGAGGATCAAAGGAAAAAGGGAGGAGCAAAGTGCTCGTTTCTGGGTGCTGAATGCACAAACCAACCAACAAGCAGACCCGAACCACATTTGGGAGAACAGTTACACCTAGCAAAGGGCTGTGTGGTGGTCCCACAAGGACAGGCTTGAGTATTGAAAAGCACTGTGTGAAAGACATCTCTTTCTCATAGCACAGAAAAGATGCTGTAGGAGATAATCTTTTTTTGCATCTTTTTTTATTGCATAATTTGTAACTGGGCGCATAACAGAATTGCCATTAGGTTAACAACTTCAGAACGCACTGCAGTAGAAGAGGAAACAAAGCAACACGCAAAAAGTTGTGTTAATCTGACAACAGCAGCAGAATCTTAACGGGTCCTTTGGAGTCCCTCTGTATGAAGTTAAGCTGTTTCAAGCCCTTTACCTCCATTGTGCATTATGTGCTGGTTTTGTTCTGCTGTCTTGTTACTGTAGTTGGGAAAACAGCTGTAGTGGACAAATAGCTTTAAAATCAACATTGTTTTTCTGAGTAGAATAATTTAGCATTGATCACTAGCTTGTATTTTGTTCAGTATGTTACATGTTTTGGCAGAAATACGATGGTTTCTGTTTGTAAATTTTGTAGTCTGATGTTCAGCAGAATAATTAAGAGATGAAGTAATGGATCTTAAAGCTCTTTGTCACCCGTGTAGTTGAAACGTAATTTATATTTGCTTTTTTGCAGCACTGTGCTGTGGCCGCTGTGCATCCCAAGAGGAAGCAAGTTACAGAACTATTGCTCAGGAAGGGAGCAAATGTTAATGAGAAAAACAAAGAGTAAGTTTCTGAATTTTTTTAATTTTCCAAAGAACTCTACATATTAGGAATGTAAGACTAATATATATTTTTTTTTAATTTTATTTCTCTATAGTTTCATGACACCTTTGCATGTTGCAGCTGAAAAAGCACATAATGATGTCATGGAAGTTCTGCATAAACATGGAGCAAAGGTAAATGCACTTAAATGTATTTTATTTAAGGCAAAAGGCAAGAAGAAAGGTTGTACTGGTTAAATACAGTGTTAGTTTTTACAGTAGTTGTTACTTTTTTTTCTATGTGCCTTGTGTTTCTTATGTTAACCTGGAAGTGTGTTCATCTTAAATCAGCACAGGATGTTCAGGAATCCCATTTGAAAATTGGATTTTCTCTCCAAGTAACTGAATATAGGCTTTATGAGTGTAGCTTGCTCATTTTAATGGATCTTGCTACTCATTTCTAATAAATATGGGCATCTGGGTGCCTCTTGTTGCTTTATCTTGTTGGCTTGAAACTATCTAGTGTCTGAATTTGTTTGACACTGTGTTTAGTAGTCTGTCGCTGGGCATTCCTTAGCCCTTGCTTCTGAGTCTCTTGGTCAGGTTGTTTTGCTGTGCTATTCAGCTGTGGGTGGGTGCCGTTTGAACCTGTGGTGAAGCTTTCTTAGAAACACATGGTTCAGCAAGTTATTAGTTAAAGGCAGAAGAAAGTATAACTTAGGTTATTTAGGATGTCTTTTAAGCATCTTTCAGAAGTTCTTAAGAATGATCTTTCTCTGAGTTTTAGTGACATTCATGGTAACGATATACTTAGCTACTTAATTTTCTCAGAAGCTCTTCTTGATGGGTACTTTTTTGCATTGGCTAAAATAGAAATGATCTCCTTATTTTTCCCTTTAAGGGGGCTCACATTACACTCTTTGAGTCTCCACCTTCATTCAGGTAGCTAGAAATGAAAAAATATACCTGTAATAACAATCTAGTGTGTCACTTGATGTGCTGGGAGGTGACAGCACTGTAATTGTATGCATAGTTAATACTAAATCTTTTTATTTTGAAACAATGAATTGTGATTTATAAGCCTGCATGAGAGCTCATTGCCATATTTCAGTAGCTGATTCACTTCCACAGAACTTCAATGGCATCATAAAACAGCTTAACAACAATACCGTGACAGAGTTTATCACATTTGAGAATTTGATGCAGTGGTGACATACCAAGACTTTTCTGGGGCAGGAAGCAGGGCCAGAGGTCTCAGTTACAGTCATTAAGACCATTCATTATAATTTTCCCAGATTCACTCTTAGTACCACACCTATGAAAAGGAAAATTAATTTTGCCATAGAAATAGATCCTTCATGGCTTTATGGATCTGATTTTGCACGTGAATTTGGTACTGATGGTACTTGGGTAGGCACTGAAGTGGACATGCTGGAATTTCAAGCATATTGATACCCAAGTACTACCTGCTTTGAAATACGAGGAGTTTCTGTGTGCTGAGGGTTTCTGGAAAGCCTACTACTATATCACAGGTATTTAAATTAGTGCTCCTTTGAAAATCTAACTCAGTGTAGCCAGATTAGGAGCAAGCTCAAAGACATCATCCTTACTGGAATGGCCCAATTTCATTGTGTCAGTAGCACATTCTGCAATAGCTTGTAATTCTTTTATGTCCCGAAATTGGGGTTCCTAAATCACGATCCATGAATCAGCTGTGGACTGAGTGATGATGGTGAGCAGCCCACGGTTTTTTACAGCACCATGCCGAGTGCCGAGTTCTGTTGTTTTTTCAGTTGACAACAGACAAACAGAGGTACCTGGTGGTCATTAAAACTCACTCTTTGTTCATATCCTGGTATATGCCTGCTGTTTTATTCCGAGGATAGCCATTCAATTCTGTGATCTAGCAAAGCACTTAAGTGCATGGCAGGAGACCACTCATAGTTAAAATTAAGCACGTATTTCCATACTGCAATGGATCAGGTTCCTCTTTGTCAGTGTCTAAAGTTCCTCAGCTGTTAAAATGGTACACAGTGCAGTCATGGTTTTTCACGAGAGGTAGGTCATTAAGGCTTATGAAACACTTTGAAGTTCCCAGATGGGATATGCTCTAGAGTATTAATTAGTTAACTAGGCATATTTAATCACTCTAAAATGTTTGTCTTGCTTGGATATTATCATTTGACCTCTTGCTCATGCTTCGCAGGCATTCAGTTCATCAGACACTCTTAACGTTGATGTTTATTTGTTTCTGATTGTTGGGACACAGCAGCTTTAAACTCTGAAGCATGATACAGGTTTTTTGGGTTTTATTTTTTCTATTTGTTGTGTTTCTGGAAGCTTTTTCTTCTTGTTTACTTATTTTGTGCCTTGCCTTCATAAGATGTAGTCAGATGAACTCAGTTCTTTGATCCTGTCCTGCTGTATTTTTTACAAGGGAGGGTTCTTGTGAGCTGCCGAATCTAGTGCCCCTGCAAGAGCATCCTCACAGCGAACATCCATTTGTTCTTTGGACAGCACTCTCCTGCCATTTAAGTACCTCTTTTCCATTTTGATGCTTCTTTTGCTGAGGTATTTGCAGTGAACAAAGTGATTCTTCTTAGCCTTTTTGTTTTGGTAGGCTAAAAGCCTCCAACCCTTGGTCTTCTCTCATAAGGGGACATTGCCATTTCCTAATCATCATTATAAGTCTGCTCTTTACTAGCACCAGAGCAAATCTTGGAGCTCAGGCAACAAGAATGGGATTCGTTCCCCAAGAGCCTTACCTGATGGCACTTCCATTTCTCTAGTGTAAATGCTGAAGTAGAGCGTACAGGGATCATGTTTGCCTTTTTAATAGACATGACACTGCAATATTCAGACTCTTTCTGTAGCCTTGCAGTACACAGAGAATTTTGCTGGGTTTTTTGCCCTGCTAATTTTTCATATGGAAACGTTCTCCTGTGCCAAGATCATTAATGAAAATATTAAAACAAAATTATCCCACAACCAATCACTGAGCAGCCCTCTCCCTTTCAGTATGGTCAGTTCCCATGTGATCCCTTATAAAACGCTTACTGAAGTGTGGGTAGATGAGATCTGCCATATTTTCTTTACTTTGCAACTTTTCCATCAAAGGAAAAGTACTGTATAAGTCAGCTTTAATCTACCTTCTGGAAACCACTATTGATTATAGAGACAATATAACAATTTGAAAAAGATGAGTAACTGGGGCTTCAAAGACAGTGGAACTTTCTTCTTCTGAAATCCAGTGCCAAAAGGCAGAGAGCTGATCCACAAAAAAACCATCCAGTAATGTATTTAGGAGACAAAGTCATGTAAAGTTAATATGTTCAGAAAGACATTTGGCTTTCTAGCAGTGCAGAATAAAAGGATTAAAGTCTTTTCGAAACTGGAATGATTGTTGGAAAGAAAGATCTGCAAGCGTGCAAGCTCACTGGTGTCTTGGGCAAGTGTGGAGATGTGATGAATGCTGTTTGTTTCACTGTGTTACATTTCTGAAGGATAATGTTCAGATATCTTCTGCAAGAGAAAATGAGCCTTTCTAAAGTCATGTTAGACTGATAGTGTCTATTCGTGATGGTAGCAGAAATGTCTTCATTCTGCTCTGCTAGAAGCACCAGGCATTATGGATCTTTGCATAATACAGTTATTTCTGTGCATTGGGGTAGCACGTTGCCAGCCTTTCATGATTCATGACCATCTACCTAGACCTACATGACAGACACAAATGATTTTTAATAACCTTGTTGTTTAATACATTTGCTTCCAACGTTTCAGGTAGAAATACATTTTTTCCTCAGGAAAGAATAAGCATCGAAAAATTAATTTTCCTTTCAGAAATGCAGCAGGTTCTGGACTATGATGGTTAACAACATAAAGAGCTGTGTGATCTGTTGTGGTTGTGGGGTTCAGCTTTTTTCACTGCTCAGACATCTAAACTTAGTGACATTAATCTTACGCTTTTGTGTGAAGGGGCAACTGTGGAACATATGGCTGGATCATTTAGGAGCTTTCAGAGTGAAACCAGACCTTTGTTTGTTTGTTTGTTTGTTTTTCTTCTGAAAGCTTGAAATTGCTACCAGCCTCCCTTCGCTCCTATCTTGTTCAGTGTTAGCGATGCACAAAGACATGAGACATCCTGCAGGTTGTCTTCAGAATAAATGCAGCAGGAGAGCAGTTATAACGCCTGCGTCGTGCAGGGAAGGATACCCCGATACTGGAACAGCTGGCAGAGCACGAATTTCACGTCTGATTTTTAGAATATACGTCTTTTAGAAAGATTTCACAGAGAAAATTGCAGCTGCAGTTTGTGCTGCTGCAGTGTCAAGGAGTAGTATGATATTTAGGACATTTGGTATCGGCAGAAAGCGGATATATTTGTGATGTCGTGCAAAAAATGTTTCCAGCTGTTGAGCTGCCACAAGTGCCTGGCAGCCGAGGGAATTTTGGTGTAGCTGTGTACGCTGCTCTTAAACAGCAGCGGCGCAGGGAGGAAAAATCTCTTCGGTGTCTGATATGCAACCATTTTGATTTCTCTGCTGTGTGTGTCCAGGGTGGGGAAGAGGAAATTGAAGGGATAAAAGGAAAGAACAGAAGGAATTCTGCAGTTGGAAACACTGTGGAGTATGGTATCTTTCCGTGAAAAGCCTTACTTAAAAACACTTTTCATTTGATAACTGCATTCCGCTTTTATGTTGCGGTTTGAGCAGTGGAGTGGCTGTTTCCATGCTAAAAGGGGAAGAAACCAGAGCCAGTGTGCTGTGGAATGAAAGCTGTTCAATCCATCATTTTTAATTCCTTGCAGAAAACTTATCTGTAAAGTAATTCAGAGCTGCAGCCTTCTAATTTCCGACTGCTTATAAAGGAGACCAGCTGAATATTTCCCATATTTTTTTATTATTGCAGCTGAAACAATCTGATTTCTGAGCAGATAAATAAGGCAGTACACCTTGGATATTTTACATTTTCTCAGAGTTTAAATTTTAACTTTGAATTTGAAAGGACATGTGTTTTTACACCCAGTATTGGACAGGCATATGTCTTACCAGGTTTGATTTTTATGAGAGTTTAATCTCAGTTTGTCTTTCAATTTGTAACGCTCAAATTGATTTCCATTTGGAAGTAAATCCTGATGCCTTCAGCCTTAGTGCAGTACGTTCTTGGGTTGGTTTTAGACAAGTGCTGTGTGATTGGCACGAGCAGATCTGCCTCACAGTGAACGTATTCCCCATGAAATTGCCCTGCAAAGCCTAAGGAAAAAGAGCTTCATCTGGTGCGTGCATCCCCTCTGTCAGCTGCAGCCCTCTTTGTCCCAGGAGCAAGCAGGCATTTCTTCATACAACTGGCGTTCTTCTGTCACAGGAATCGATCGCTGGCAAAGATAATCATTTGGAAGTGAAAGGAGACCTGCAGACGACATGTGAGATGATGGATCTGTTGACTCTGCCAGTGTTCTTTTCAAATGAATATTAACATTTTTTCCAGGTACTCAGTCGGTATCGAGTTGTGCAGCGTGAATGCCTTGCTGCTGTGCTTCAACAGTTTGTTCAGTACAGGAATGTTTAACACAGGAATTCAGTGTTATGGAAGATGTTAATTATGATTCTCTTTCTTGGGTGAACAGAGTATTATCAGCTACTTCCCGAATCCACAAGTCTCATTTCATTTTGCCTTTGCCATAACTAAATTTGTACAGCCTCGGACTGCTGCTTTTCCCTGTGCCCTTATCAGTGGTGAAAGGTATCCGGTGTCCTGAAACAGATGAGGATGGCCATCATCTGAACAAAATGATGGATTTGGGACATTCGGCATCTAGTTAATATTTATGATAGCAGTAGGTTTTTATTTAAAACAAGACTTTTAGGGAAATCCCATTAGAGTGGCATGAGCTGAGCATGGTTAGAAGAAAGCAGACCTGTTCTCCTGTACATCTTCCTGCAAGAGAGGTTTGTGATCTGAGAAATTCCTGCTTTACCAGCCTGTAGAGTTGTTGAGGGATATAGAAGAATTGCAGACAATATAGAATCACACTCAGCTTTATTTAGGTGGTAGTTTTAATTTCTTTTCCTGTGTTTGATACTGCTGTATTGCAGATATTTTACTTTATTCTTTTTTAACTCTATCTGATATTAGATATTTTCTATATAGTTACCCCCCTAATTAAATTTCATTTAGTTACAGAATATACAACTTACCCAGAACATTTTTTCACCATTTTTCATGGAAAGGTAGTAGGATTTGCAGGCTGCGTTTTAGGTGAGAAATAACAAGCAAAACCTTTGTTCACTGCCACCACAAAGATTTTGATCAGGTAAAAAGGTGGTTTTGTACAGTTGCAGAGTCTATTATGCATGCAGTTCACAGCCTGCAGTCCGTAGGCTTGGAAACAGATAACAGGTTGCGAGTTGCTTGCAGAGAATATAGAATAGTTCTGTATTTCATAAAGGGGTAAAAAATCTGTTGGACATTTGCATTTACATTTGTCTTGAATCACTGCTAGGTACAAAGTATCTTCGTGAACAGTTATTTTCATTAGGGGTTTTTTTCAGCTTTTTAAAGCTCTCTATTGTTCTCTTCCTTTCTCTGGTATTGAACCCATGGAGATGCTTACAGTTATTTAGATACTCTGTTAGATCTTGGCAGAGAGATAGGTTTCCATTATATCATACTCTTTGAAAGAATACTCCTTTTTGCCTGTTTATACACTCTTGTATTGGGCATTATTATATCCAGTTATACTTGACATTTCTGTAAAAGTACAAAAAATGAGGAGGAAATGGACTGTTTGTATCCAACCTCCTTTTTTTCCTCTGTAGAATTCCTAATCTGACATCTTTGTTTTGCTTTAATTCTTGGTATTGAGTAACGTTAATGCCCTTTCTGAGGCTGACAGATGGTAATTTCCTTAAAGCTGGAAGATCTTTGAAATGCTTGGTTGATCATTTACCTCTTTCTCCTCTTCTGTGAGAGTTTTGCTTTTCTTGTACAAGGTTGATCTTCATCAAAAGTTTGGGTCTGGGGATCCTATTGTCCATTAGCCATGCAAACAAATAACCTGCATTGTTGAAAGACAGGAAAGCATCTGCAGTAAATTATCTTTACATTGAAGTGTTTGCCTTTTTTTTGTCATTTGGTTTTGTCTAGTTGCAATGCAGAGGGATTGATAAATAAATTTGTATGCTGGAGTATTCTTGTTATTGCTCTTCTTATTAAGGGCAGTGACAGGTGCAGGCTTTTAATTATTACAGTGTTTTATTTCACATTGCTGCTGATTTTTCAGATGAATGCACTGGACACACTTGGTCAAACAGCGTTGCACAGGGCTGCGTTAGCGGGTCACTTGCAAACCTGCCGGCTCTTGCTGAATTACGGCTCCGATCCCTCCATCATCTCTTTACAAGGCTTCACAGCAGCACAGATGGGAAATGAAGCAGTGCAACAGATTCTAAGTGGTGGGTAAAAATAAAGGCTTGTGTATTTGAACTTCACCTTCTTCCTTTCCTTTATAGTTGTGGGTCTTACTTCTTTTTCAGTGCAGGAGACCTGCAGTAGTTTTCTCCTCCCTCCCTTCTGCCATCGTGTGTGCACATATACAGTGTGTACTGCACGATACTTTTCAGAAGAAAACCACAACAAAAGAAAACAAAAAGTTACTTTCGAATTTTTGCAAGTAGGGAGAAAAATAATTGCATCAGTAGTTACTACAGAGCAAGTAACTGCCTTGCAGTGGGGTGTGCATGCAGTCAAAGAAAGGCAGATATCCAGATAGATAAGATCATCTATGGTAGCTAAAAGCTTAATGTCCTTTCATGTTCTCAACAGTGTTGCCTTAAAACCAGCAAAATTAAAAAGGCATTTTACAGCAGTGCAAGGAAGGACTGTTTTGAAGTGTACCCACTCCTAAGACATAGCTGGTTACATTGGTAGCATTGCCTGTTTGAAATACGCATGTGGCTGTATGTGTATTGAGAGAAAAGAATGTTAGCTATGAAGCAGAAGAAAGTAAATACATCCCCTGCTGTTAAAGGCAATATCAATTTGATTTAAAAAATAATAAACTTACAAGTATTCTGAAAACACTCATTTTATTTTGAATTAAAAATTCATTTTCACTGATTTACCTTTTCTGGGAAAACTAATTTCAGATGTCATGCTGTACTGCTTTTCATTGGAGAGGCAGCAGCCTTTCTTGTACATCAGTGAAGGTGTTCAGGACTGAAAGATCCAAAAGCTGAGAAAATGCATGTAGTGTAGGGTTGTTGACACTTTGTATTTCAAAGCTAGTAAATGAATTCTGAAATTATTTACAAAATATTACTGCGTGTTCACTTTTGTAAGACTGGGTTAAATAAATATTTTCATTTAAATGTGGGGTTTGTTTTGATAGAGATTGTTACTTGACTAATGAGTTCACAACTTAAAATATTTTCTATATGGCATTAGATTTTTTTTCTCACCCTTGATTGCTGGGCTACTTCCCAACTGTGACATAGCAAGTATGAAAACAGCTTTCTGATGCCATAGTGGCCAGTGGATAGAAATTTACTCTAGCCACTTTTGATTTTGGTAGCAATTGGTAGGAGTATGGCCATGTAATATAAGAAAGCTCATCAAGTGAGCCTGTTAGTTTTTTCAAATGCTTGAATGCTGCTGGTTTTGCTCTTCTTGAAAAGTAAGATTTGTTTTATTTCTTTGCTCAGTGCAGCCTTTTGGTACTCAAGTTCTAATCTAGTGTTCTAATCTTTCCTGTAGTAATTAAGTTGTGCTTCTCATTGATTTCCTTTTTCACCCTGACCAAAGCCTTGAGTCTTGGCTGTCCTGTGAAGAGTCTAGAGAAGAGGTAAATAGTTGCAAAGGAGCAGAGCTTTGGATGCAGTATAGGACTTGGCCTCATCTGTCCTCTTCCTGCCTCAGGATGCTGAGGTGGTGGTGCTGTTGGGGAGATCAAGGAAAGGCAAATAACTTGAGATGAAGAAGGTGTGGGCTGAAATCATAACCCACTCCAGCAACAGGAGTTTGATGCATGCTATGCTCTGCCCACAGTCACTGGCATTTGTGTCAAATTTGTGCCATCCTTCTCTTGCAGCATGTGTTTGAATCCCTTAGAATCACAGATTTAGGTTGGAAAAGACCTTTAAGATCATCGTGTCCAACTTCTTGCTGGTGGAACTGCTCCAGAGGATCAAGGTAGACTGAGTAAAGGAGCTGGCAGCTCTGGTTGTATTGAAGGTGCCACCATTCCTCTTCCCTGAGCTTTTTCAGGCTTTCTTTCGAATGAGATAATTTCTTCACTAACAGTTGAGCTTGTAGGAGTTGCTTCCCACTTCCTCCTCCTCTTCTTCCTGCAGTGAGTATGGAGGCAAGGAGGTAGCAAAAGGCCACAAAACACTGATCAAGAAGATAAAATAGGACTGCAATAGGAAATACTATCTCAAAGTGAATTGATAAGTTGATGTCCTTCTGTAAGGATGGTTAATTATGAAAACAAATCTCTCTTTGTACTTATTTTCTACTCCTGTGATACAGTCACAGATTACATTGCAAAGACAGGAATTGACTTGAATCTGCAGAGACCTTCTCACAACATCTCTGGAGTTTCCTCTCAGGACATAGTACCAGTTCTCTACATTAAAAGAAATTTTTGAGTTATTTTTGATGGAGTTGCATGCCCATCTAGAAATGAGTTTAGCCCGTTACAACACTGACTTTCTTACAGCATTCTTACAGAGGATTGCAACCCCAAGTTCACCTTGCCCCATTTGTTTTACACTGGGCAGTCACTTATGTAATTGTTCAGGCAACATTCTGCTGAAACTTGTATGCCATAAATCCTTGACCATGAGAAGAGTGGCTTCTACAATAGAAAGCAGTTTCTATTAAAAATGAAGTGATCAAGATTGTCTTTTCAGCTCCTTTTTGTGCAGCACTGAAGAGCTCTAGGGACAGCTAATCCATTGCTCCTTTCCAGCCACCTCTTCCTCTTTCCTCAGTGTATGCTTGCTTTCTCACATCCATATTTCTAATGAGAAGTAGGGTAAAAAATGAGTTTTGAGGCCAGAACCTGTCATTGTCTTACATTTTTTTCCTCTTTAAATGACTATATCTCTCTAAAGGTCTCCTTTTAATCACTCTGTCATTCTTCTGACTCTATTTTTAACCACCCAGTGTTTATAACAAGGGACAGATCTTATTGTTGCTAGGAGGTGCAGAACAGAACTGGAGCATCATCCAGCAGGCAGTCATCATGTGGCCAGAGCCACCTTAGAAACCCCATCCCCTTGTCACCGATTCATAGCGCAAGATGTCCAAGTGCGGAGTGTGGAGGCGGTAATTCAGCTGCAGAATTGAGCAGGTTTAACGCTGGCTGTGCTCTGGTACCTCATGCAGTTTGTGGAAATTGCTGAGAAAGGTGCTTTTGATCTTCAGCAAAACTTTGAATCTGTCCCAGTGAGCGTGGAGATTTCTTACATGCAGAAAATGGTCCTTTTTGCCATCCATAGGATTAGCAAAACATTGAAATTCCATTTGACATAATAACATCAATCTGAGTGGCTTACACTGCAACTAAGGCTCCTTATTCAGCCGTGTAGGCAATATGAACATCACAATTCCAGCTGCATTTTTACAAATAACAACAGACTTTTTAAATGTTGTTTTGTTTTTGTTTTTCCCCAGTTTGGAAACTATGTTGAGCACAAGTTAATGTAACTTAATGATCCTAAGTAATCCTGAAACATCTTTTTCCCCTATGTAGAAAGTACACCTGTGCGTACATCTGATGTGGATTATCGGTTGTTAGAAGCATCCAAAGCCGGAGACTTGGAAACTGTGAAGGTAGATTTGAGCAATTATTGCTAATTTTCTACTTTGTATTGCCGTGCAAGGCTTGTGGGAGCCTCTGCTACAGGAGTTGTGGAAGCAGTGCCCAGTGGATTATAAATCATAAAAAATGGGAAGGCAAATCTCTTTACTTTTTTATAGGAAGTAGTACTTTAAGATGTGTTTTTCATGAGTTTTTGGCTGAACCATAAATTTATGAAGCCATAAATTTAGAGCAGCTATTTCTGTAGCTTTGCCTACGTGAAAAGAAATTTCCTGAAACCTAACTTCTAAAACCTTGTATATAATAATAAATGGATCGAGTTTTGTGTTGGGTTGTTTAGAGGTGGTATTGTGGGGTTTTTTCTTCTGTATTTTTTGTTTGTTTGTTTGTGTGTTTAATTGTCTGGTTGTGGTTTTTTTGTTTGGTTTCTGAGGTTGGTTGGTTGTTGGTTTTAGTTCTGTACTAGATTTTTATTTCTTCTTTTGTCTTTGCAGCAACTTTGCAGCCCTCAGAATGTGAATTGTAGAGATTTGGAAGGCCGTCATTCAACGCCACTGCACTTTGCTGCAGGATATAACCGCGTATCGGTGGTGGAGTATCTGTTGCACCATGGAGCAGATGTGCATGCCAAAGATAAAGGGTACATTTCTTTCCATTAAGTGTTCTGCTGTTTTCTATTAGTGTGAGACCTCTACCCCCTCTATTCATTTTGCTTCAGATTTCAGTGACAAACATGTTTTTCTCTTGAAATTTTTCCTCTTTTCTTTCTTGTTCAGTGTTGCTCCTGGCATCTTTGTAGGGAGATTTATAGACCATTAAGGCATACTTAGCTTTCTGGCAAAGCCGTTGTCAAGTGCATGTCTGACACTGTAATACGTGATTCTTCTCTTCCCTCTTTTGCCCATTTTGGAGACTTTCTTGTGCTTAAAAGCAGCCTTTAAGTTATTTCAGGTAATTTAAAATCAGTCCTGGGGTTCTCCATGGGCTGCAAGTGGATCTCTGCTCCACTGTGGACCTCCATGGGCAGCAGGAGGACAGCCTGCCTCACCATGGTCTTCACCATGGGCTGCAGGAGAACCTCTGCTCTGGCGCATGGGGTACCTCCTCCCTCTCTTCTCTGACCTTGGTGTCTGTTTCTCTCACATATTCTCACTCCTCTCTCCAGCTACAGTTGTGCAGTTGAGCTGCAACGTTTTCCCTCTTAAGGAAGTTATCGCAGAGGCGCTGCCTCTGTTGCTGATGGGCTCAGCCTTGACGAGTGGTAGGTCCATCTTGGAGCCAGTGGCATTGGCCCTGTCGCACGCAGGGAAAGCAAGGCACCCCTGTAAGCCCCCCGGTACCAAAACCCCGCCATACAAACCTAATGCAATAGCATTACACCTTTTCTGAAATTTACACTCAAATATCCAAGGTCAGAGCGTCAGTGCTGCTTACAATTTGGTTTTTGGCTGTCAGTAACAGCATTGGAGTTACTTGCTTGTGGAAGTAGTAACATTGGTGCTTGCTAAGTATTAAAAGTCTCATGGATAAAATCTGAAGGAAGACAATGAAGTTTTAATTGATGTTTTAATAGCAGGGAATATAAAGCCATGAAAACTGGAAAGACTGAAAGATACCAAAAAATGTCTGGTGGGAATGGGAGTTTTATAACTTTGTATCAGATTTTATTTTCTGTTGCTATTAATACTTTCTCTGTGATTAGTGGCTTAGTACCCCTGCACAATGCCTGTTCTTATGGACACTACGAAGTGGCTGAACTCTTGGTGAGGCATGGTGCTTCTGTCAACGTGGCAGACCTGTGGAAATTCACTCCTCTGCATGAAGCAGCAGCAAAAGGAAAATACGAAATCTGCAAGCTTCTTTTAAAAGTACGTGATCTGGAGTTCTCAGTTCTGTCTTTAAGTGTGTCTATGTTTAATTTTGCTGAAGATTAATTAACTAATGCAAAGTTAATTGCATTCAGTGAGTTCTTTGTCTTTGAATCTACTTTCGTCTTACAATTGTCAGATGGTTTCTTGTGTAATACGGCTTCATCAATACAGTTACTTCCTCCAGTAACCTTCCTCCATATTAACACTGTTAGCCAAAGAGGGCAAGACTCAAGCTGGAAAAAGCAGCTGAATCTGTGTAAAAATACAAAAACCCCACCTTGTCTTATTTATCCCTTTCTGGAACAGTTACTGCATTTAAGTAAGCCTCTGTGAACACTTACACAAGGGTGCATTACGGAGTAACTGAAGGTGGGTACTAAATGGTGTCTGGCATGTGAGAAATTTAAAACTGTTATGTTAATGTATAATTTATCAAGCTCCTGGAGGAAATGCATATTAATACTATGGAATAAATATTCATTATCATTAGTGTAAAAAGCATGAGGTAATGCCAGCAAGAAAAGTGAGTTTGAGAACGGACTTAGCATAAGATTATATCCTGCCGTGGATGGGTAAAAGAGGGTGCCAGAGCAGAATTTCTTGCCAATCCTATTTCCTGTTCTAGCCTTGCTGCTTCATGTTCCTCTGAAGCACAGCACTTAAAATAGGAATAAGTCAGTACATGGATAGTCTTAAAATTGTGAAGCTTTTCTCTGTCCAATTCTCTTTTCATTTTTCTGCAGCAAAGTCCTGCTATTTCTCTCCTATCTCATTAATTATTTCACCTGATTAACTTTATTACCAAAAAAAAAACCACATTCAGAGAGGGTAGCACATCAGTTTGTAACACATCTGCAGTATAAACCAGAAGATATTTAGAAATGTCTGCGGACGTTGGATGATGATACTGGTGGTAACACCTGAATACAGATTTTAGCTCAAGCTATCAGAGCACTCCTATCTCTCAAGGGTTACTTCATAGACACCGGAGGCCTCTGGAGTTTTCTGATCATTCCACTGCGAACATAGCCATTTTTTGTGTTCAAAGGATCCTGAATGAATGTACGACAGGAAATAGAAAAGTGCTGAAATCTTTCTATTTGAAATCACTCTTGCACAAGAGTTAAAAATGCCTGTAAGGTGACAGTTTGGTAAAGGCTCTGGGTGTCCGTGGATATGCGCTCACGCTGTGATTTGCTCAGGGCTTCTCCTGTGTCTCTCTTACGCCAGCTGGCCGTGCTGTCAGCTCTGCTGAGCTGGGGATGTTGAGCTTCACTCCTCCTGATTTGCACTCTTTCTCTGTTCTCTCCTGTTTAAGAAGGAAACAAAAATGTACAAGCATTTTGGAGATACTTTCTTTTTTCATCATCTCTCTTTAAAATTTTCTTCTGTGCCTTTGAAGGGGTCTCGCAGGACACTGCCTCTTAATTTAAATATTTATTCTGGAGTATTTGAATAGTTCCAGTTTTAATGAATTTTAAATTAAGGGATCTAAGGTCATATCTTGGATAAGTCATTGTAGTTTACAAGGCTTTGTGCAAAGAGTGCTCTCTTTCCAAAAGCACCACAGATGTGGAGCTGGTTCTGTGTAATCAGTACTCCATTCCTCTCTGTCCCTTGCTGTTTACCCTTTACACCCTCAGCATTGCCGTACTGCTTCCAAATACAAGGCGGTTAATTTCTTCTGCTCTCCCATCCTCAGCTCATTCCCTGTGGCTCACACTAACACAGCTTTGCCATCATTCCCAGTGAGAAATGGCAGGGTAGACTTGCTGGCAGGGACTGGATCACTGCGTTTGATTATTCTGAAGGGGCCAGCCAGAGAACTACAGTGCCAGCAGCTGCCTCTGCCTTATCTGGCTCTGTTTTTTCCCACTGCTGCTGAGAGCGAACAGGGAAGGAGCTGTCCTCCCACAGAATTGTACATGGACTTGACTCACACCATATGCTCTGTGTACATCCAAGTTCCCCTCCTCATCCCATGCTGCACTGGCTGATCTGCATGTTTTGTCAGTGCAGATAAGCTCTACCAGTCATCCAAATCCACTTTCTCAGCTGTCCCACCAAAATGTTTTCTCCACTGCTTTCCAGGACCTGTAAACTGCTTAAGATGGTGCCGTTATCTACTGGAGAGTGTAGAACTGAATATTTTTTTCTAGTTCCCTTCTGTAAGAAGTGCCTTTCAATAGCAGGGTGGCATTTAGTGAAACTCAAGGCTTGGGTTCATCAGGTCAGAAAGGTGCTGAGGAAATGCCTCTGCCAGCCAGTTTGCAGGAGATGGGAAGGACTGGCCAGCAAGGTATTTTCAGTTGGCTTTTCTTTAGCTGCTGTGACAGGAGGGTGTAGCTACATGCAGGATCTGCTCCTGAACCTACTTCACTTGCAAGTAGGACAGTGGCAGCTCTCGCAGAGGACTGCCATTCTTGCCTGTGGGGTTGAGATTCGCACAGCTGTGTTGCTTTAGTGCTTTAGGCCTCAGCCTCCTGGATTTCTTCTCATGTGCCTACTCATTTATACAGTTGTTATTTCACGATGGCAAGTCAGCAATATCCCCCACCTCCTATCTTGTGCCACAGAATAGTCACACATTTCTGTGCACTGCTCTGCTCGTGGTTGTGACAGTAGGATTCCCCTTTGCTCTTTGCAGCATGGAGCTGATCCAACAAAAAAGAATCGAGATGGGAACACTCCTCTAGATTTGGTGAAAGAAGGAGACACAGATATCCAGGACTTACTGCGAGGAGACGCGGCTTTGCTAGATGCTGCCAAGAAGGGGTGCCTGGCACGAGTGCAGAAGCTGTGTACTCAAGAAAACATCAATTGCAGAGACACCCAGGGAAGAAATTCAACACCGCTACATCTTGCAGGTGGGTGACTCACCAGGTTCTGAAGGCTTGTATATTTTATGATAGGGTTACAGAAATTAATCACCAAAACCAGCATTGGTATAGTAGGAGTTTCACAGAGCATTGTCCTGTACAGAGGGATATTAATTATGTCAGCTGTATTTCAGGAGGTAATACAGAGCTTTTGCAGTCGAAAAATTGCTTTAGCTTTTCTGTCTAATAGTTTTTCTTTAGTTTAGCTTGCCTAATACCCCATTTCTTCTCCTGTGCCTCTTCTACAGCTGGTTACAACAATTTGGAAGTAGCTGAGTACCTTCTTGAGCATGGTGCTGATGTTAATGCCCAGGACAAAGGAGGATTAATCCCCCTACACAATGCAGCATCCTATGGGGTAGGTGCAGGCATTCTTGCCATGAGTAGACCAACAAGGAGTTCTTTAAAGTCACATCCAAAGCCAGTTATTTTGCAGCTGTCTTGCCGTGAACTTAGTTCAGATTTTGATGGCATGAAATAATTACTGGGCTAAGTTGCTGTTGTGAGTTATCTTTGCAGTCCTACAGATGTAAATAAGACACAAATTCAGATGTGCTGTAGCAGATAAGAGTTGCTGTTTGGAAAGATCACTAGAACATAGCTTTTATGCAGACAAGCAAGTGCACAGCATTGAGCAGTGTTAAATTTGAGGTGACTGTTGAAACAGAAAAGACCTCAAGTTGTTGCTGAAAGACTTGGATGGAAAGAAGAGAACAATACCATGGGATCGTGTCTAGGTGGTGACAGGGAAGTGGAGGTCTGTTACAGCTTTCTCTGGTGGGGAGCTGTTGCTAAAGTTGAAGTGTTGAAGCACTACTGATTTTTTTAGTAAGAGTGTCGTCAAGGGTAAGCTGTCTGCTGAAGTGGCTGATTCAAACCATTTTGGATGAGGCAGTCCCTCCTTCCTCCATATACGAGAAAGCATCTGTCTGTGTGCCAGTTGCACAGATGCCTGATGGATTACTTATAAGCAGCTGGTAATTGTGGATGAGATGAGAAAGAAATCTCTTGCAAATAATTGTACAGACAGTGCTTGAGAAGCCCTGGCACGAGCAAAATCTGGGAGCGTTGTACAGACAGTGCTTGAGAAGCCCTGGCACAAGAGCAAAATCTGGGAGCAATGATAATAACAGAACCGCGATTGCTTTTGTCTGAGAGCCAAATGAAGTAAAAAGTACTATGTTCACCTTATTTTTAAGGAGAGCATATCAATGAAACTCAGTCTGCATCATTTGCATTGGTTCTCTATGTCAGTCTGAGATCCCAGTGTTCTAAAGAGCTAAAAGCTCAAAGTCCTGCTTTTTTTTGCTGAAGATTTAGAAACGCAGCACTGAATTATTTTATGATACTGGGTCCTAATACCAAGCAGTAATGTTCATCAGCATCTGCCAGAAGCATTAGGTTCCCAGGATGTTGCTTAGATCTGGAGATACATTCTGTTGCAAAGATTGTGTTCGTTCTTTTCAAACATGGGAAACCAAACCACACATTTTACATGACGGCAAAACATTCCTTACCGGCACAGGGAAATATTAGAGATAGATTTACGCTGGTGATTACTTCTAAAAATCACAATGCAAATCCAATCTGGTTGCCTCACTTTCTTTAGGAAAAGTTAACGAAGCAGTGTTTAGTGCTTTTCCATTAATTTATTTAGCGAAGAGTTGCTGTGTACCTTTCCTGTGCAGCCCACGTTTCTCTCTGAGCTGTCATCAGCCCATTCAGATCTCTGTGATGGGAGGAGATGAGTACTGGTTTCACAGGTTCGTAGCTGGCAGGTTTCACAGACTCAACGTTTTCCTCACAAAGTGTCTTCGCTTCTCCCACTCAGCACTTCATGCTGCGTGTCCCTCAGTAGGGTTTCACGTGGCAGAAAAGTCACAGGAACAGCAATTGATGTAAAAGTTTGGCAGCGGGGGAAAATAAGGTCAGCAGTCTTTTCAAACCGTGCTTATTCAGAGAGCAAGCCCTTTTATGAGAGCTGCTGAGAGTCACTTAATTGCCATTGAGAGGAAAAATTAAATCCATTGGCAACTCTTTGCGCTTCTGCTTACAATTGCAGTGTTTCATGCTCCTACCTACTCATTTTGACTGCCTGCTTTTTTTTATATCTTAACTATATTGCACAAGTAATTTTACTGGTCAGAGGCAGTCAAAAAATTTATTTGCCAGTGTTCTGTTTTCTTCTTTTAACTTCAGAGACTTCAAGGATGGGATATTGATGGAAGTGTGGGGTTGTGAGATCATTACTTCCAGAGCCCATGTAAAGCAGTGGTCCTCGTGACATTCATAATGTGTTTTATCAGTTACAGTTCTCAGAAAATATGATCCAAGAAAGAACAAATTTGTGCTGCCGTGGATGGGTTCAGAGTTTTGCAAGAAATTGCAAGAGAGAAATAAAGTACAATGAAGACTTGTATGTGCAGACATTTAAGTGGTGGCTCAGCAGTACAACACATTGATCTTTAGAGCTTTTAGTATGGTATCACAAATATTGTAGTCCTGTAAATATGTTTTGCCGGTTCAAATTTGTCTACAAGTATTTAAAAAGTTAAGTCTTGGTTTTATGCTGGATCGAGTATCACGTCTGCTCCTGCAGCTGGCACAAACTTCATGCTGTGCACTCTGGGTGATTTGGCAGAAATACTATTTTGTACCTGATCCCAATTATACATATGCTGGTGGGTGATCTGGTAGTGCACTGATACAGATCTAATGACTGTGGAGCTGCAGTATAGAGTGGTACCTGGAGAGGTGTGCTGATACATAGACACAGGAGGCAGAGAAGTGACATGAAGAAAGGAAGGGGGAAATTACCTGGGTAATAAATCACCTCCAGCCCGAAAAAGGAAATACTTGTTTTAGCAGTGTCGCGTTGATTAAGATGTTTTTGTCTTTTCCAGCATGTGGATATAGCAGCACTGTTGATCAAATACAATACCTGCGTAAATGCAACAGATAAATGGGCTTTCACACCATTGCATGAAGCTGCGCAAAAAGGAAGAACACAGCTCTGTGCTCTGCTGCTAGCTCATGGGGCAGATCCGACCATGAAGAATCAGGAGGGTCAGACACCACTAGACCTGGCAACAGTAAGTTCACGTTGGCT